ACTTTTTCTACATTAAGAGAAAAATATATGACTTGGCTTACTTCTTCATAATAGGCACACTATAAATTTCCAGCAAATTTACTTAGGTCTGTATGAAACAACCTGGATAAGGCTCAAGCACCATTTCCTTGAGATCTTTGGTCATTACTGCTTATTCTTAACACATGTAATACAGTTTAGCCTGCCATATTCTAGGCATTTAGTTACTGCAATTAATTTTCCTAATTTAATTTATACTTTGAACTTTTAAAGCTGGCAAGTAAAATATATTTTTTGCATTTTTTTTCTTCAGATTAATAACATTACATTTCTCAATTATAATTCATACTTAAGTAGCTATATGACCCTGCTTAGCTGATACCAATGACAAAGACTAAACATTGTAAGCAAGGCCATCGGGGCATCTTCACCATGGAATTACCTGCCACTCCCTGTAGATCACTGGAGTAGCATTCAAATGCAAATGAACACATTCTTTAGCTGAAGACTCCCAGCCATTCCTGTAAACTTGTTACCAGTATCATTCAGGCGTCTTCAAACTACGGGCCCGCAGGCCACATGCAGCCCGCAGAGGAGTCTGATCCGGCCCGCCAGGTTTTTTTTTTTTTTTTTGGGGGGGGGGGCAGTGAGCGTAGCCGAGGTGTTACAGTAGGAATTAGTAATTCATATAGTCCGGCCCTCCAGCTCTCTGAGGGACTGTGATCTGGCCCCCACTTTAAAAAGTTTGAGGACCCCTGACTGGTAGTTTCTGCCTCATGGTGGGGAATTTCAAAAGCTGGTGGGGAATTATCTGCTGCCTCCAGCTATTCAAAATAACCCCTGGAGGGAATAGACACCAGGTGGGCTGAGGCAGGGAGCACACGGGTCCGAGGGGTCCCAGGTGTCGAAGGAGGTACTTCCACCAGGGCTTTTTCATCTGGCAGTCCGCCGCTTGCCTGTTGCTAGCGAAGGTGCCTTGGGGGAACCGGTGACCCCTCCACTGCAATCACACTCCCTGAACTTTCTGACAGGCTCTTACTGATTTTAAAATTATAACTTGAGTTGACACACATACAAGGACCAAGAGGCCCACAAAATATTTTCCTTTTCCTTTAAAGATTTTACAATGTACTATAATCATTAATTACATTAAACTTAAATGCCTAATTGAAACAAACAGTTCTGAGACCGTTCCTCCACCACTAATGAAGACTGGGTGGAGGCAGGTGTCTGAAATAAGATTCATTTAGTTTTTGAGCTTGCTGGGCAGACTTGGTGACTTTGCCAGCTCAAGCTTCCTTCTTGTAAATAGTTAACTTTAGAATTTGGTCTCTGCTTTTAATTTTTTTGTACCACAATTGTTACAATTTCATACCTTCAAATCAATAAACATAGACATAAATATTGTTAGGTGGGCTGATACCCCTCTGATAGAAAGCAAAGTACCCCTGGGAAAAAGGAATCCCAGTGGCCATTCGGGGTGGTTTGCTAGCCATCAGAGCACTCAGCTTTAAACAAATTAAAAGTTTCTTTCCCAATTTTCCTTTGTCAGGGAGACAACCACACTCCTTCAGCCATTTGGGGTTATCAAAAAGAACATCAATCCAAATATCAATGTAGGGAATTTGGTTCGGATGCCCGGGGCTTCCATAGACTATCCGCCAGACTCCCGTACAGGGCCCCATTTCTAGGGTCCCTGTTGAAGGCCAATCAACCTCAAATCTCGGCCACTCCAACTTACAGAGTCTCCGGAGAGTGTAGGCATCTACAGAAACACCATAGCCTTCACCCTGTTTTCTGAAGTCAGAAAAAATTTTTAATCATACATTCAAGGGGACCTAGGTGACTCTCCTTCGAGTTTCCTTGCCCCATTTCTCTCTTTCTTCCCAATCTATAAACAGTTAGGCAACAAATAAGTCCAAAACAAGGACGACAAGTAATATTCCTAGAAACACACACACACAAAACCAGACATACCACAGCATCTCTTTCACACTTCCACCCACTCGAACATCAAGAAACCAAGACCGAAGGTGGGGCGTCCCCCACTCCGGCCAGATCTGAGAACTTCTGGCAGCGTCCCACTGTTCTCAGATCCCAAGCGCTCTCGAGCAACCAAGAACAAGAAACACAAGGAACAAATGAGGCCTCTACTTACCGGCGCCGTTCAAGTAGTCCGAACGACGAGAATGGGGTGTCTGCCCGTCTGGGGGTCTCTAATCCCGGACGAGCCCCCAAATGTTGAATGGAGAAGAGACCACCCAAGAGGCAAAGACCCCTACCCGGGAAACAATTCCAACTAGCCAATTGCGGAGTCAAATAAATTTTATTACAGATTCGAATCTGGGCTGCTGCCGCCAGGATGGAGCAGGCAACAAACAGCAGCAAGCAGTTACAAATCCAGCTTTTTATGCACATTTCAAATAAGGGGGTGGAGGTCGTTTTTATATCGCTTAACCTTGTGGTTGCATGCATCGGCCAGATGGCCTAATCTCCCTTCTGTTCTTTTAGCCTTGACTAACCCAGACTGTTGACTTGGTCTTCAGGTCCAGGAGGGGGAGGGAGTAGTAACTTTCTACCCTCCAGGCAAGGTCAGTAATTTTCCACTCCTCAATATGTACAATGGAATATTACTTGGCCATAAAAAGGAATGAAATCTTACCATTTGTGACTGCATGGATGAACCTAGAGCACATGTGTCAAACACAAGGCCCGCGGGCCAAATCCGTTCCGCCAGGCCTTGCAATGTGGCCCGCACCATGCTGTCATCACTGCACTCTGCTGTGTTTCCATCACAATGACAGTTTATGACTGTTCAGTAAACCATTCGGCCCACGATTTAGGCTGGATTTTAGATTTTGGCCCCTTCTCTGATTGAGTTCGACACCCCTAACCTAGAGTGTATTATGCTCAGTGAAATAAGTCAGTCAGTGAAAGACAGATACCATATGATCCGTGGAATCTAAAGAAAATAATAAACAAACAGACTCATAGACACAGAAAGAAAACAGAGGGAAGGGGTATTGAGAGACCAGGTAAAAGAGGTGATGGGATTAAGAAGTACAGATTGGTAGTTACAGAATAGTCATAGGGAAGTTAAGTACAGCATATGGTCAAAAATATTGTGATCACTACGTATTGGGTCAGTTGGGGTGCCGGAAATATCAAGGGAACACTAGTATGTAAAGTATATGATTGTCTAACCACTATGCTATACACCTAAAACCAATACAAAATAAAATTGAAAGAATAAAAGATAAGCTTCTAATAACTGGAATGTAACCAAGTTAAGGCCAAAATATTTCCCTTCTTGTGACTACTCCATTACTGTTTCTACATTAAGATGAGTATATGATTGACACAAAAGGCAAACAGCACTGATACACTTCCTCTTATCATAAAAAAATAAAAATCATGGCACTGAACTCATCAACAGGGAAAGCCATGTTATGTCCCTAAAGCATCTTGAGTCTGTGTTAGTTAACTAAAATGAATGTGAACTAACCATGTGCTTGTGCATTATGTTTGGTTGTTTTTATAATCACTTGACTTTTGTTATCTGTAAGTTTTTACAAAATGAAATTTTCATGTTATGCAGTGGGAACCTCACCCAGTTGAAAGGATGAAGTAAATCTGACTGAGACTTTATTACTAAACTACTTTAATGAAGAAATTGAAAGATATGTACTGGGGAAGAAATGAAGCTTTTGTAAGAATTATGCCAAAATATTTTACAGTCATTTTTTCCTGCCTATTCAGGAAAGGAGGGAAGCATCATAAGAATTATAAGGGGGAAATTATGGTAAAGAAAGTTTTAGGAGGAAGTGAAAACTCATCTTTTTCATCAGTGCATCATGCTTCAAAGCTACCTGGCATATAAAGTTTGCAACTAGAAAACAAGCCAAAACTTGGTGACTTTGAAAAGAGAACAATCAGCTATTACTAAGTTAATGTAATTAGTATACATAGTTGATCTGGATTTTTCAGGACCCAAAGTATTATCTATAAACTAGAAGCCTGATGCATGAAGATTCATGTTAGAATGGGGTTTCCTTTCCTTGGCGACCTGCTCTGCTTTTCCACTCCGGCCCAGCCCCTTTCCTCTCAGGCCCTGAAGCAGCCTCTTTCTGCTCAGGGAGCCACCTCTTTTGGCTTCAGCTCCACCTTCCTACATTGCCCAGAGGCCCTGAGAGATTGGAAATGGGGCAGAAGGCCATGGTGACGACCAACACAAGCATCTCACCCTCCCCGGCACTTGGTGCCTTTGTATGCAAATTAACTGCCATCTTTGTTGGGTTAATTTGCATATCACTCCTGATTGGCTGGTGACGTACGGTTAATTTATATGTTTGTTAGGCAAGATTAGTTACACAATTGTCAGATAATTCATTTGGTTTTAAATTGTTAGAAATATTCTATATATTGAGATGTTCCATTTTATTATTTGTGAGAAATGACATTTCAAAATGTTTCCTTGACAAATAGTATTGCTGGGTGCCTTGGTGTTTTTGAATATGGAAATGTTTGATTAACGGTATCAATTAATAAGACCAGTCTAATATTTTGAAGCTTTGTTGAGATAATTCTCTAGGAATAACATTGTGTACCCTAGAGCAGTGGTCAGCAAACTCATTAGTCAACAGAGCCAAATATCAACAGTACAATGATTAAAACTTCTTTTGAGAGTCAAATTTTTAAAATTTAACTATATAAGTAGGTACATTGTTATTAATTAGGGTACTCCTAAACTGGCCTTTGCTAAAAACTCAAGGGGCCAAAGAGTTTCATGTGGCTTCTGAGCCACAGTTTGCTGACCACTGTCCTAGAGAATTATGCAATTTGTCAAAGTCGATAAGTATTTATATTTTTTTGGAGTACCTTTTCTGGCTTAGTTCAGGTTTGAGGGAAGAAAAAGCATCATTTTAGATTTTATGTTTATCTGTTCACTAGTAATCGGCCAAATGTGAAAGCCTCAGACTTTGTTTTCACGACAGTTTTCCAATTGGCCTTTCTCTTGGCAGGTTCCCAAGGGAAAAGTAGTAGTTCTCAATTTCCGATTCTTAGACCTTGAGAGTGACAACCTGTGCCGCTATGACTTTGTGGATGTGTACAATGGCCACGGCAATGGCCAGCGTATTGGGCGCTTCTGTGGCACGTTTCGGCCTGGAGCCCTTGTGTCCAGTGGCAACAAGATGATGGTGCAGATGATTTCCGACGCCAACACTGCTGGGAATGGTTTCATGGCCATGTTCTCTGCTGCTGAACCAAATGAAAGAGGTATTGCTTTTATATCATGGGAATAACAGCAGTATGGGTACTCATAGTTATTGAATACTGTCTTCGACACTTTGTATGTATTTACTCCTTTAATTTAAAGTTAAGAGAATTTCTTCCTAAACAGAGAGTTAAATAAATGCCACCCAGAGACCATAAATAATCAGTTCTTTCTTTTCTTTTTTTAAAGCCCATATATATTCTTTTTAAAATCAAATATAGATATTCATGGATTAAAAATGTGAAGTTTGCATACACTTATAGCTATAGAAACATACCCCTTCACCAGATGTAGTCCCTTTTAGAAATAGCCATGGCTGGTAGTTCTTCATTTCTATACATTTGCAATAACTTTTTAAAAGTGTGTGATCATGCATTCATATTGTATCACAATTTTCTCTTTTCATTTAACATGATATGTTGGGCTATTTTCACATCAGTACATGTGAACTCTTGAAAACAGAAACCTCTACCCTTGGAAGATAAATGCAGAGGGTAAGATCTGTTATATTTGCATCTTTTTGCCTAAGGAAGTGGTTGGCAAACTCAGTCAACAGAGCCAATATCAAGAGTACAATGATTGAAATTTCTTTTGAGAGCCAAATTTTTTAAACTTAAACTATATATATAGGTACCTTGTTATTAACTTAATTAGGGTACTCGTAAGCTGGCCTTTGCTAAAAACTCAGGGGGCCAAATAGCTGCATGTGGTTCGCGAGCTACAGTTTTCCGACCACTGGTCTAAGGGGACTCTGTAATCGTTTTTGTTTTGTTTTGTTTTTAATGGGATAATAGAGTCATATAAGTTTCAGGTGTAGATTTCTATGATAAATGATCGATATATTGCACTGTGTGCCCACCACCCAAAGTCAAATAATTTCCCATCACCATATATTAAACCCTCTTCACCCTCCACCACCCACCACCTTTCCTCTGGCAACTACTACACTGCTGTTTGTGTCCATGAGTTTCAGTTTTATATCCTATACTAGAGGCCCAGTGCATGAATTTGTGCATGGGTGAGGTCTGACTGGCCTGTTCTGATTAGGGTAGGAGTAGCCAATAGGGGGCCAGGCTAGTTGACCCTGCCCCCATTGAGCCAGTTGGCCAGTCACAGTGGTTGGCCAGCCATCGAGCACATCATAGTGACAGGTTGTTCTGGTCGTTCCAGTAACTTGTCTTTTATATTCTATCTAATAAAGATTGTGGTTCCCACAGCTAATAAGGAGGGAATATGTGATTTACCCTCAAAGTAAAAAAAGAAGGATTTCTTACCATTTGCAACAGCATGGATGGAACTGGAGAGCATTATGCTAATTGAAATAAGCTAGTCAGAGAAAGATAAATATATGATAACACTTATTTATGGAAAATAATAAACAACATAAACAGATGAATAAAAACAGATCCAGAAACAGAGAAATATCAATCAGACTGTCAAACCTCAGAAGGAACGTATGTGAGAGAGGGAGTAAGGGTGAGAGATCAACCGAAAGACGCATATGTATGCATATAGACCTAACCAATGGACACAGACAACAAGGGGGTGAGGGCATGAGTAGGGGGGTTGGGGTGATAAGGACACATATATAATAACGTAATCAATAAAGAAATTTAAAAAGTATGGCGGCACTCACAGACAATAAGGAGGGGACATGCTAATTGTCTGCGACGCTCTCAAAGATGGTGGTGCCCACAGCCACAAGATGGTAGCTCCTAGTCCCCTCAGCCCCACTGAGGCAGTAGGTGGGCAGCACAGCTAGGCCCATCCCTAGGTGTGTCTTGCTGCTCCACATGCCTGCCTCCAGAGTACCCTAGTCTCCTCAGCACCCCAGCCACCCAGGACTGATGCAGAGCACAGGAAAACCTCAGGTTGCAGCTGCCCAGCTACCCAGGTCCAGCCCAAAGTGGAGGCAAGCCTCAAAAGGGGGCTGCCCCACCACCCAGGGCTGTTCTAAGATGCAGGCAAGCCTCAGATGGTGGCTTCCCAGCTGTCCAGGGCCATCCCAGGTACAGATAACCAGGGCCAGGTTGAGGCTTGCATGGCCAGCAGTGGTAGCAGCAGAGGTATGAGGGGGCATCACCTTCTCCTGATCACCAAGTCTCCTCCTGCCCGAGGGCTCCTAGACTGTGAGAAGGGGCAGGCCAGGCTGAGGGATCCCCCTCCAATGCCTGAATTTTCATGCACTAGGCCTATAGTCCTCCTATCTAATAAAAGAATAATATGCAAATTAACTATCACTTTGCTACACCTACTTGTCATGCCCACCAACCAATCAGGAGCAAATATGCAAATAAACCCAACCAAGATTGCTACAGCCACAGAGAGCAGGAGGGAGGTGTGGGTTTCCCGGCAATGGAGGAAACCAAGCTTTCTGTCTGCCCTTGCCAACCTAGGCTTCCACTCAAGGCTAGAAAGTTTCAATGATAGAAGAAACATAAATTCAAACAGAAATGGCAGCAGCCATGGAGCTGGAAAAAGCAGGAGGCTAGGGTTCCCCCAGGCGATGGAGGAAGCCAAGCTTTCTGCACACTCTGGCCTGCCCAGGCCTCTGCTTAAGGCTACAAAGTTTCAATTATAGAAGATAAATAAATCCCAACAGAAATGGCTGCCTCCATGGAGCAAGCAGAAGGCTTGGCTCCACTCCAGGCTATAAACTTTCAATTGTAGAAGATAAATAAACTCCAGATACCAGGGCCTCCACTTGGGTCACCAGGGGACGTGGCCAGCCTGCAAACCACCACAGGCCCCTCACCCAGGCTGCCCCATGCCTCAAAGGAATCCCTACCCTGATCCAAGACATCCTTTAGGGCAAACCAGCTGGCCCCCACTCGTGCACCAGGCCTCTCTCCTATCGAATAAAAAAGTAAATGCAGATTGACCATCACTCCAACACACAAGATGGCTGTCCCCAGGTTAACACAAGATGGCCACCACAAGATGGCCAGCAGGGGAGGGCAGTTTGGAGGGACCAGGCCTTCAAGGGAAGGCAGTTGGGGACAATCAAGCCTGCAGGGGAGGGCAGTTTGGGGTAACAAAACTGGCAGAGGAGGGAAGTTGGGGGCAACCAGGCCTTCAGGGAAGGGCAGTTAGGGGCAAACAGGCTGGCAGGAGAGCAGTTAGGCATCAATCAGGCTGGCAGGGGAGTGGATATGGGGCAATCAGGCAGACAGGCAGGCAAGCAGTTGGGAGCCAGCAGTCCTGGATTGTGAGAGGAATGTTCCAGATTGGAGAGGGTGCAGGCTGAGCTGACAGACACCCCCCACCACCCATGCATGAATTTCGTGCACCGGGCCTTTAGGAGATGGATAGATAGATGATATATACCTTGTTTCCCCAAAAATAAAACATCCTCCGAAAATAAGACCTACTTACAGATTTCCTTCTGAGTGAAATATAAGGCATCCCCCCAAAAATAAGGCCCCACTAGGCTCTGTCTTAGAATGAAAATTAATTTACCATAAACTGGTCGCTAGGGCCCCCCCGACTGGCGTCTAGCAACCAGTGACATTATACGGAGTCCTGATGTCACTGCTGTGTGGAGGTGGAGCAGAGGTCGGAGTGAGCGATGAGCGCTGGGCGGGAGAGAGGAGGAGACTTTCGCATATGTGTGTAGAAGAACAGGAGGATTAGAGCAGATGGGACTCGGCAAAGGTGGTGAGTGCTGGTCTGTCTCTGGTGACACTACCTGATGTTCGTGGCCACCCTCATGATGACTGAAGGTTCTCAGTCAGTGGCAGACCCTGCTCCAGCCCAGATCCAGGCCTCAGGAAGCCCAGTGACAGTCCCCAGGCAGGCTCCAGGGGATAAATGTCTGATAAAGGGGTAGGGGGGATGTCTGGTGAAGGTGTTCAGTGGCACAGGGATGGGGGGAGGGGGATCACTTAAAATGACACAGGAGGATCAGAGGGGGCAATTAAAATGACACAGGAGGATCAAAAGGGGTTACTATTGATAAAATGGTAATCCCCCTCTGATTCTCCTGTGCCATTTTGATTCCCCCTTCTGATCCCCCCTGTGTCATTTTAAGTGGTCCCCCCCCTTGATAACCCAACTCCTTTTTTTTACCCCTAGAAATGAATGCAAAAAGAAAAAGCTACTCCATGGAGTACAAGAAAGGAATCATGGAAGACTCTTGGGGTCAAAATCTTACAGCTTTCTGCAAAGAGAAGATGTTGAGTATCCGATTGGTCCGAAAATGGCAAGCAGAGTATGGTAACCTCATTGAACAAGTGGACAAGGGAAATGCTAAAAAGCACAAGTGTGGATCAGGACGGCAACCATTATTTTCTGAGCTGGAAGACCTGATCTGTGAATGGGTTGTTAACAGGTGAGCAGAGGCTTTGGTTGTGAATAGGGCTCAGATTCAAGTATTTGCCCTTGCAATGGCACCACAGTTTGACATAGCCCCCAAAGATTTCAAAACATCACAACACTGGCTGGATAATTTCCTTCAGCAAAGTAACTACCTTTAAGAAGACCAATTGTTTAGGTTGGAAGATATTCAAGTTATTAAGTGAGCACTTGCATTCAAGTCCTTTATTGATGATGCTGACTTCTCTAAATACAATCTTTCCAACATGATTGCTATGGATGAAACTGCAGTGTTTATGGGCCAATCATCTCAAACAACAATTGAACAGCAGGGTGCCTCCTTAGTGTACATTCCCTCCACTGCTTATGAAAGTGCACGTATTTCCTATATTTTGGCAATTCATCTGGATGGCACTAAAATCCCACCTTTAATCATTTCTAAGGGCAAGAAGGAAAACATTGAATGTGCTTTGGGTGTTTTTATTCTTCAAACTGAAAAAGCCTGGGCCACACAAGCAGTTATAAGGAAGTGGGTCGATTTAATGCTGGCACTTGTTATGCGAGGGAGCCAAAGAAGTCTGCTAGTCTGGAATGCAGCCAGCACTCTCCACGCTAAAGACATGAAGACATTTCTTCACAAAAGAAAAATAGATCAGATAATGATTCCCACAGGAATGACGGCCCATCT